GGCCGCTATCAATTTCGTTAAGTCCACGCTTTCCGCCCATGCTCCATCAGAACGGCCGATTGATTCGAGATCGTACATCTTCAGTACTTCATTGGGAATTTCTTTCAGTCCCATTGCAGTAATGTTCAATCTACCAGATACCCTTGCCGTTTCAATACGGGACTGCATAACTTTTTTGTTGGATTCTTCTAAACTCTTCTGACCAAATGGATCATCCGAAAGTTCAAAATTGAATGCATCGTTACTAGTTGCAATTGCTGCATTTATATCCTTCGAGGTTGTAGTGCTCGCGGCTCGCTTTGCGGCCTTTGCCTTCGCAATTTGGTCACGCAGCGCAGCGGAAGATTTGCGAGAGTTCGACGGCGTTTCCTCGCCAGAATTGACCGTGGCAGGAGTAGTGTTTGTAGCTGGCTTTAATAGGTTACGACTTTTACCTGGTGTCGTTGATGATTTGAAAGAAGGAAGAGACTCTCTTTGCGCGACGGCACTAGATAAATCCGAGGTGGGATGGTCGTCCGGTGAAGAGGGCATAGACGCCTTGTTAAACAAACCTTTTACGGAGCCCCGTGTCTTCAAGGGCCGTACGGCCATCGTTTTAGAGCTCAACTTGGATGCGGAACCAAGGACGCTCTTATCAGAACTAGTAGTATGTGGACCGACTGAGGCAGTCAAATGTGCGCGGGGCGTATTGTTCACTGAAGGGCCATTTACAAGCTTCGGCGTACCCATCGTGGTCAATGTGGCGGGGGGAGCAAGGGTCGAAAGACGCTTGGATGGCGTGCGCTGAGCAGCAGCCGAAGGCGGCTTGTAGGAGGTTGCAGACGGCCTGACACTATTTGGTCCCCTGTCAGCTAAAAGGCCAGAGCCAGAACTTGACTCTGGCCGGCTGAGTGGCCTACTCCCATACGTAGTCGAAGTTTCGGACTGAGAGCTCGAGCCAGGCCTGGAAGCGGCCTGGGACGTGACGCTTCCCTTTGATGGCGATCTCCCAGCAGGTGGCATATCAAAAAAGGTGCTACCTCGTTGTTTGCGAATAGGAGACGAGGGTAATTTGGAAAGAGTCTCTATTGTTCGCTCCGTAAGCGACGGCATTGGTTTCTCAGCATCAGCCACTGACGCGTCGGGTGTGAAAGTTTCAGCAGCGGACTGGATTAGAGGGGGGAGCTCAACCGTATCATCTGCCTCCGTGTCTCCTGAAGAAGGGTTCTCGACCAAAACGGCCGATGGCTGAGACGCATATCCATGGCCAAACTGGGACAATGGTCGGCGTTTGGGGATTGGAGGTTTCTTGAAGGGACTATCAGTAGAGGTGGGTTGGTTCAATAGAGGCCGCTGGTTTGTACTCCTGGCAGTAGTTGAATCATTTGCGGTGGCAGATTGAGACCTTACTGAAGACGCGGGGGATCTGGCAGCCCTGAGAACAGTGGCAGAAGTATTGATCCTTTCCTGTGAGGCAGCGGGTCGCAAGTGGCGGCCGCGCGTACCACCCACGGTCGAGGACTGCGACAAGGAGGGCGCTGATGGCCTTTTCTGTAGTCGTACAGTGGATGTGGATGTCGGCGTTGGAATATTGGATCGAGGTACAGGCAGACGCGATGAAGGCTTCGGGATGTTGCTTGTTCCACGGCCGGTGACCGTGGCACCTTTCTCCTCCATGTTGACAAAACAGAGTTGACAGCCGTGATATACAATATACTAGCAATGACAACAGCTACAGCCAGCCATTACTCATCCATATTCTACAGCAAGTCCCAAATAATAGCAGTCAGCGTCGAAATCCAAGACACGGCGGGCAGAGCATCTCAGACAACGTAAGGGGTGAGAGAGGGGGAGAAAAAGGATATAGAAGCGCAGGTTTGGCAGTCAGTCAGCCAGTCAGTCAGTCAGTCAGCCAGCCAACCGGCCATGTCCAGCTCCTCGCAAGGGGTGCGGTGCATGCGGGAGATTCATCTCGTTCCCTGCAGTTGATTTGATTTCAGGTCACCGTCCCCAGGCGGGTACGAATCACTAAATAAGCCTGTATCATAGCGCACAGTGCAGGCATCGCAACACCTATAAGTACCTATAGGGACAACTGTAAACACGCTAACGCACAGCTTCTGATAGGTAGGTAGTGGGCGCTGCAGCCATGAACCCACCAGTTCCACCGAGCTCCACCGGGCTCCACAGTTCCGTGCTTTCGGTCTGGCCGGGTCAACCCGACTTAGCGCCATCAAGATTGCAGCTCATTACTAGTAGCGTCCCGCACTAGTTATGCAACGCCCCGTGTTTTGCGTCTTGCACCGTCTCCACTCTTTATTTGATTGTCCGTATGTGCATAATCCTTTACAAGCACAACTCTCAATGTCAAGCAGTACACCTATTCCGCCGTCCTTAAGGATAGTACGGTACAAGAAACAGGGATTGAGTCGGGTCTGTGCTGGTAGGTATAAACAATGGAAACTGTTACCTAAGCCCGAACATGTAGTGCTGTGCACGTACACAGGCAGGTAGATAGCATGGACCCAATCCTAGCTTAAACTCGGCTCAAACCCCTGTTTCTTGTACCCGTACTATCCTTAAGGACGGCGGAATAGGTGTATATGTACGTATTGAATACTAGCTATACTAAGGTACGGACGTATATTCCGTAGTGTAAACAAAGCCAGCAGCCACACCATGACCAAGACTCACAGGAAGGGAAGCTATCTAGCATAACAAAGAATTATCACACACCCACAATTCCTGTTTTCGGTGCCAGCTCTGAGAGCAGAAAATGGATTTCCTTCAATCCAACCAATACCTATGTAGTAATGTATTCCTCTAACATGATGACTACCTACTAACAAACGCAGTCTCCACGCTCCAATCTCTAAAACATTCTACTTACCTAGTATTAGGTCGTATGGCCTGGTAGTTTCATGACCCCACGTGTTCAAGCCCCATAACGCAATGCAAATCTTTATCATAACCGGCCTCCTGGTCTGGAACATTGTCCTAGTCTTCTTCATCATCCGCGACCGACAGCTGCTGCTCAAAGTCCTTCGCTGGTCAACAACCATTTGGCTGTTCTTCTTCGGCATCCTCGTATCAGAGGTTCTTCGCGAGGGCCTCATCGTCAACGGAGATACGGCCCTGCATTGGGACATCCAGATTGCCTGGACACTGTGGTTCATCCTTGTCGCCAGCTCCATCATTGACTGGCGCTTCCTTGTGCCCGCCGTCGCCCTCGTTCTTTGGTTCCTGAGCTACCCAGAGGTTCGCACGTTGCTCGACTATGGATTAGTCAGGCTCAAGTGGGTCGGCATCGTGCATAACCCGCTGACATGGGCTGCTAGCCGACCCTCGCTGCTGGAATTCTGGATTCGTTGGAAGAGGGTATTTGAGACCGTGATGGATCGAGCTGTGCTGCCCGTGTTGGGGCTGCTCAAGGGCTTGATGCATTACATAGCTGGCTGGATCTGGTGGACAACGGATCGAGATATGGAAAAGCTAAGGCCATCGGCTAACTGGTCTTGGCTTAAATTCATAGGGCGGTGGTAATCAATTTGAATGCTTTCTCTAACATGATTTTCGAAGACTATTGAGTGTCAGTTATAACCCGTGCGAGGTTAAAAGTACCTTTCGTCTGACCACTCGTACATTGATTTATAAGCCATGTTACAGTCTGTACCGTAGTTTGGCGGATACCTCGGAGCTTGACCGACTACGTAGCGACCTACAAGTGCAACCGAGGAGGAAAGACAAATCAGAAGCCATTGATTGAATCATTCACCATCTTACTGACCAGTTGCGAATGCACATTGCAAAGCCTGCGGAGGGGAGTCATAAGTCGATAAAAACCCGAAGTTGGTGCCATGCTGCATCAAGTGATGGATGGATGGCCTCGGTCAATGAAAACCAGATCTAACACTAGGTAGACTACCTAGTATACTTCAACTTTCAAGTCACCTATATCGTTGCTCACTCGCTAGAAGTCTGCATATACCCTTCAACAATATATTATTATTACCTCTATTTCTCCATATGAGGACGAATGTTCTAGTTTGGTCCATATTGATGATATACTTTATGGTCATATCGCAGCCGCGAACTCCAACGCGTAATCACGCAGCACGTCGACTCCCAACTACGAGTCTACGCAGTAAGATACGCATTCACCCCCAGCCTAAACGCGAACACAATTAACAGCAAGAAAGTTGCAACGCCAATGACGCGTGAAACTCCTAGAAAGCAAGAGTGAATGACCCTCGTTATTTCCCTGCAGTGTTGAGCCGCCATGTCTGGCGTCGTCCCCTCCTCCAAACAGAACGCACAGTACGATATTCCGTCACATGTCGTGCATATTGCTGTTAAAGCACTGGCATACTCTGATACGTCACTGCTTGCACTCATCGCAGACCCCAGCGTAATCTGCTTCGGCATAGGGCCACGGTATGGGGGAATGATGAGACGAAGCTTGGGCCTCATGGTGGAATAACCTTTCTCTCCGGACCGCGTGAGTAGAGATCTAGCCTGTTCGGGTGTTTGGATGGATTCTGCCATTTTCTTTTGTGGTGGTTAGTGATGAGCTGTTTGGAAATAGATAGAGTCTACTTTGACACTTAGCTGTCAGGAGATGGCGTCAAGTTCAAGACGGGAGATGGGCTTAGAGACAATATAAGAACTACGATAGCTGGGTCTGTCAATGCTTCTTATTCTTGAACGTTTACAAAGCTTTCTTATCTGCTGCTCAAAGGAGAGGGATCATGGATGGGACAAGTGCCCCGGCACAAAGCATGAATACTTTTGATAACACATCGTGTGCATTGTTGTCATTTCTAGCGAAGATGATTGATTTCTTTTACCCTACTGAACAAGTACTATTGTTTTAACAGAGGAAGACTTGTTAAAAAGTATCTAGGGACCAAGGCCTGGGTGGAAAAGCACAGAGTCGATCGCGTCTGTCCGGAACCGAACACCCACCTACTCACCCGCCAAACAAAAAAAAAGGAATAAAAGAAAAGTCAATAGAAAAAGTATGCCCAGTCTTGGATTTGAACCAAGGTCTCTCGAAGAAGCAAGCTGAGGAAGCAAAGTCAGCAAAGCAGAGAACATAGGAAATCGCTGGCCCCCAATTGGGGTGAACGCAAAAGCAAGTTACGCTACTTCAGAGTCGCTGGAATAGCTATTTTGCTTCGAGCGTGATAACCACTACACCAACCGGGCTGGTTTGTTGAAGACCACACGACGTAATGTCTGCTATACGGTGTCGTTTGTATGTTTGCTATCACCCGTTACCACAGCGCTGGAGTGGCTGGTAGGGCGTGTGAGGCGTGAGGCGTGGATAGGTGGTAGTGGCACTGGTCGTTAGCACATCAAGGGTGGCTTCTCGCCTAACTGTTTTCCTGGGCCGCCGCACCTTCTGACTCCTAACGCTATGACTCGTCTTCGTTATCGCAAGACTGGTGGCCGGGTTCGGTCTATGGTAACAGAGAAACACGCTACGTACACTGTAAACAGGTCGTGACAGTTCGTCCCATTCCCCTGATAACATTGGTCTGGCTTCGTAGAATTATCTGCGAAGTACTTGTTGATAAGATTCTAACATGGTAACATTTCATGTTTGCCAAGAATATTGATTGCATTAACATCACCGCTTTGACCTGAGTCTTCTCCTGAACTTTGGTGACTCTCCCCAAACGTGGCTACGTGGAAGATGCTCGCCCACCATACAAGAATATGAATAGAAAGGAGCCTTTCATCGGAAAATGCGGGTTACAGCTGATATATCTTCTTTCAGATTGGTTCCTTCGTGAATTTGAACTTCAGGTACGTACATGGGCTTTCACCACTATAAATAGGAGGCCAAACAAAATGAATACACTTGGTACTTGGTATGCCATATATATTACAAGCTTAAGCTCTATCTAACAGCATATGATTATAGATTCAAATATAATTCCAGAAAACAATGTCTCCAGTCCAGTAAAGTACAAGTACAACTCAAACCTAAGCTGGCGCAGTTCTCGAAGACCAATATCTTCTCATCGTCCTCCAAGCCTCCGCATCATCCTCCTCCTGCTTCATAGCGTTTTGAAGCGCATCAGCCCAGAAACCGCTCCTCTTCTTCGCCTCAAGTTCAGCAATGAGCTGCTCACCAGTGGTAGGATTCGACGGTCTTGGGCCGCGCAAATTACGATCGAGGAACAACCACGCAAGGTCAACAAGCTTAGCTTCATCATGCGGATGATCGCGGAACTCGCACAGAACGCGCAAATACTGTATCCACTCCCTGAAAGACCGCCCATTGGCCAGATCGCGCACCGTGAAATAGCTCGTCTCCTCCGCGACCAGATGGTTCGTCTGCAGCTCCACGCGCAGCCAGTCCTTGATGTCGGGCTCGCTGAGGATCCTGATGTCGGGACTCTTGCCCTCCTCCTTCCGCCGGTTGCGCGCTATGCGCCTCCAGTGCCGATCGATGAGGAACAGGCGCGTGTAGATGTTATCCGACATGTGTTTCAGCTCCTCGATCTCGGCGAAGTAATCGGGCGTCGCGCTCAGGTTGTAGTTCTTGTCGTTCACCGTTGCGTCCAGCGTGTTTCGGATCCCTTCCTTTGTCGCTTTCCCTGTGCGCGCCTCGAGCTTTAGCATGAATTGGGATATGTGGGTTAGGTTCCGCCGCGTCGTTGAAAATGCATATTGCATTTCTCGCTCGCGGAGCGTTCCTTTGGCTCGTGAGGCGGGGACGGGATCAACGCTGTTCTGAGAGGTCTCTGGAACTGGAATTTGAAGGTTGCTCTTCTCGACACGGGGTGGCTCGGGTTGCCGTCTCTGGCTCTCGTGCCTCTTTGGTCTTGACTGGGAGCGCGTCTTTACTAAACCGGTGTCGGGATCATTGGCGCGCTTTGCGATTTCTACGACTCTGAGCTGGGGTTTGGCGCTTGAGGTATGAGAAAGCTCAGCATGCCTTTTCTGACTCTCATGTCTCCTTGGGCTTGATTTGGATCGCGTCTTTGGGAAGCCTGGGTGGTGCTTATCGGTGTGCTTTGGTGTGTCCGGAATTATAATCTGGGGCTCGGTGTTCGACCTCATGGCACTGGGTGGTTCATCAGTTTGCGTTGCCTTACTCTCATGCCTCTTAAGACTTCCCTTTGGACGTGTCTGCTGTAAATTGTTATTTGAATCAAGGGCGCTTTCAGAGGTGTCCGGGACTGTGGTTTGGCTTCTGGAGATAGAGGCATGAGAAGGCTCGGCCTGCCGTGTCTGACTATCATGCTTCCTGCGACTCCTTCTGGAGCTCATGCCAGAACTTGATTCCGAGTTCTCGACTTTTTCAGGAGCTCTCGTCTTGGATGCTGTGCTGGAGCCCGATATGTCGTTTGATTTCGAGCTCTCGCCATTCTCGGGGCTCTCCCTCTCGGATCTCGTACGGGAGCTTATTTTGGGGCTCTCGGGCATCTTACATGTTCTCTGGGAGAAGCTGGATTCCGAATGTGCGTCCCAGCTTTCAACCCTCCCTAAAAGCCGAGCTTTGAGTCCTGGCTTATAGATTGACTTTAGTCTGTCAAACTCCTCGTCAATTGTTGACTCGACGCTGGCTTTGAGGGGTGACTCTTTGCTTCGGATTTTCTCCTTACCTTTCGCCTCCGAGCTCGCCTTAGTATTTATATTTGAGCTCTCAGCCTCCTTCTCGTCACTTCTCGCTTTCTTGGCATTCTCTTTGTTCTTCATGACAGTTGTGACAAGCGGGTCTTGGCCATAGCCAACCAGAATCTCGTCCTCGCTGTCAAAGCCAGGGAGAATCGGCCCGTCTTTCCAAACACATATATCATCATCTTCAGCTTCGTCATCTGAAAGCATTGGGGCATGGTATGGTCTGTAGGTATAGACTGGCTCGTCGCTGAAATGTTTGGCACCCATGCTGGAATTGGGATGTGATCAGTGAATTTCGAAATTTTTTATGTGCGGTGTAATGATATATAGTAGGTACAGATGCTTCTAGAATACGATTTATGGCGGGTGATATTCAAGAGATTTCATTGAGTTTTATAATTGAGCCTTTCTGACAATTTGTATTTTTTCGCCAAAAAACGGTCTTTGTACAGCATGCCCGTCAGAACGACGTCTTGCAGAAAACATAAGACTTCAATAAGACTTGTTCTCAATGGACAAAGGACGCCTTATTCTGGAGCGACAGAAATATAATACTCACTCCATCTAATTCTTTATTGGCGTTCCGCGGCGCGACCTCGGGCTTTGACAATTGACTCCGGGATATCCCCTGATACTGCCATGCCAATGCCGATAACGATTTGTTGAGGATGACAGTCCTTCAACATGAATTCTGGGAGGCTTTTTTTCTTTGACAGACAGCTTTCACGCTATTAGTATATGTTGTGTGCAGGAATACCTACTATTACACGACGCGCAATGCACGTATCAATTGAGTAATCAGTCAACACAGCTGGCTGATTCAATTATACTTCAAACCTCAGCCCACTAGTAAGCCGGGACTCTGGGCACTGGTGGTCCTGACTCCTCAGAGCTGCACGTCGTTGCGGGATACCGAAACGCGCAAAAAAGGTATTACCGATCGATATGCGCTTCTGATACGGAGCCGATAGAATTCTTCGACCTATAAAAAGGGATGTAAATGTCTGGCCATGGGGCGATGAAGGGACGAAATAAGATGTAGTTTCGCCTCGTGCGTCAGGATGCCAAGCTTGCTGATTTGCCAAAACCTTTCTTACGATAGGAATTGTGAGGGACGTGGCGGAGCCAAAGCCTCATATCTGTCTCCAACACTCTGAGTACCGTAGAAGTTGAGTTGTGGTCATGCTCTCAGTCGATGCCAGAAGGTCGAGGTTGCTGCTCTTCGAGGGTATAACTGCAATTGGAATCTGAAGGGGTACAGGGAAGTTAGTCCTCGATTCCATGTTTGTATCGGGTTTATGGGGTCACAGGATCATGATGCTTATGCTTTCAGACGATGTCGGCTTGTTTGTGTGCTCTCATTATGATAATGAAAATATGCTTTTGTTCATCGATATAGGAACGTTTCTTCATCACGCAAGTGTGTTTATGATCCCATTGGGTTGGGAGAACCACATGGCATCTGGACTGGGAAACATACCATAGTGCTCTCTCATACATCATCGCATCTTGTATTAATTGATTCAGTTTGCGGCGACGACTTGTTGTTCAATTAGTCTACTTCGTCTTATTATATACTCGTTTCCTTGTAAGCTGTGATCATCGCGAGCGGCTAAATATGACCTCGTGAGACTGGATAATTACTGATTCCCTTGTCCGTCGAAACGCAACGTCGTTTTTGCTGACCCATTGCTGCATGAGGGACTACCGACCGCTCATCTAATACGTACACAATTGAATGAATTCCGACTATCAGAATCTTAATTGGCCGAGCCGCGTTGGAGGTCTCTCTCGATTCATTATGAATCATTCATTGCATGGGACCTCTGCCGTATGCCGAGAGCCTATACTCAGCTCCTTCTCCAACCGGTGTTACATGTGTAGGGCCATTACTCCTAAAAGATCGACATTCAAGTGTTACGTGGGATATGGACATACTACCCCAGCGTTCACTGTTGAGTAGATTTACCCCCTTCACAGATCATTGTTTCGAAAATATGTAAGATGTCATTTTGTCTGCTATTGTCAGCACGTCAGAAGCCTTGGCGGTATTCGTACTCACTGAGTCATCGTGATTTCTATCGACTCATTATGAACCGACATGACCCTTTTTGAACCATCTCTACCAGGGGACTTGTCGTAAGTCGCAATCTCTTGAAGTCGAATTAAAAGCCTCAAGTACTGCGACGATGAAAGGGTAACGAAGTGCGCCTATACACTGAAACTACTGCAAAATTTGTGCTTCTAATGGATTCGCTTTTCAACTCAGACGGCTTTATTATTATTGTTATCGTGACTCGGACAGAAGCTACAAGTCCCCAAGCCCGTCAAGTCTCAAGTAAACGGCTAAAACCAACACTGAAAAATAAAGCAATAATATCGCCGGACATGTTGAATCTGTCGTCCGTAATAGTACCTACGGCATAGAAGAGGGGGGGGGCAATGCAGGTGCCCTTTGTAATGTCCCTAGCCTCACATCTTTCTTTTCACGTTTTTCATAATCTCGTAAAGCCGGCCATATTAGGCTTTAGTGCGAAAGAGGAAGAAAGGGAGAGCGTAGGAAGTATTGAATT